CTCGGCTGGGGGGCCCGGGCCCGCGTCTCCTCTCCTCTCTCCGCCTCTCCCGTTTCCTCCTTCCTGCTGCTGCTTCTTTTAAAGCGGATTCTTTGGCCACAAATAGCACCTCGGCTGCCCCCCTTCAGCGTCTCCCTCCCCTTCTTCTTTTCTTCCCCCCAAAAGTGAAGCACACGCGAGGTAACCAGAAACTGAGGCCCGTGGGGGCAAAGGGGAGGCGGGGAGAGGGGGGCGCGGCGACGCCTGGAGAAGGGCCAGAGCGGAGTCGAGGGCCAGGAGGTGGGATGGCGGGTCCAGCCCCGTCCTTGGACCCAGCGTGAACCTGGGATTACGCTTGCAGGCGAGGTGGTTGGAGGGGCATTTGAAAACGCTCAGAAAGTAATTGGAAAGCCTCTCTCTTTGTTTCCGTGTCTGGTGATTTCTAAAATCCTCGTAACGTGCTGGGGATCCCACGGAAGCGCGGTGCCCCGGCGCTGGGGAATTGTGTGTGCTCGTTGCCTGTGTGTGAGAGAGTGTGGGTGCGTCCGGGTGCGCCCGGAGCCAGGCCCGCCGCGCCCGCCGGCAGATTCCCGAATCTGGACCACTGACCCACTGAGAGGGCCGAGCGCTGGACGAAGGCGGGGCAGCAAGAGAGCGAGCTGCGCGAAAGATGCAAAATCGCGCGCACACACACACACACACACACACACACTCTCTCTCTCTCACTCACTCACTCACTCACTCACACTCACACTCACACAGGCTCGCAGAGGAGGGGGAGGGGTGACGTCACTCCCCGGCATCCATTCACCAGGCCAGAAAAGACCCTCTAACAGATTCACTCTTCTAAAAGATGTACATCCAGGCAGCGCTTTGCTCCGCGTCCCAGCGCACGCGAGGAGAAAATGCTGGTCGCGCCCTAGTCTAGGCAGTGACAATAATGTAAGACGCGTGCGTTGATGAGACAGTTTGTGTCCGCCCCAGTTCACCTTGGCAGCCTCGTTCCGGAATGCTTGTAGAATCCACATTGGAGACAGAAAAAAAGAAAGGGAAGTGTTGAAGCAAAATCTGAATGTAACAACTCTTTTTTTGCTTTCATGTCACTCGCCTTTATGATGTGAAATTCACATCACCCCACCATAAAACCCTCTCCCTAGACATGCACCCAGTTGGGCTGTGCGTTCTTCCTCCTATGCGTTCTTCCTCCACAACATCCAAGGGGAATAAGGTGCACCATGTGGATTATTAGTTAAGAGATCAATTTTTAACCTTCACAGGATCCTCGTAGAATCTCCAGCAAGTGGGAAAAGTCAGCAGCTGCAAACCGCCATTGGCAACTGGCCCATCGGAGGGTATTGGAAACTTGGTCAGAAAGGTTAAATAAAGTAAAGCCAGGGCCTGCAGTCTACTGGGTGGTTTGTTCCGTGATCAGGCCAATACACACAGTATTTACTCCTGCAGACGCCAGCAAAGAGCAAAGGTAAGCAGACCTCCTTACTTGAGTCTAAAGATCCAGCATCCTGCTTGCTGTCACAAGCAGCCCATTTGTTTCCACCATCTGCATGCTGTGTTCCTGAAAGGCACTGAACGATTGGTCAGTAATCCTCTGTCCCTTGTGCTCACATCTTTTAAGAGTCTTGCTGAATGAAGTCTAGTTTTTCCAGCAATTTTGAGATAGCAGAAATCCTGGCATGACTCTTTGTTGTTCCTTTCTTTTCTTTTCCTTTCTTTAAAAAAACATGGCTAGCCTCAGAGTGAAACACAGGAAGAATTTCTGTTCCTCCGCAAGCTCCCAGGCTGCCTGTCTTTTTGATGACTCAAGGAGCTACAAAGCTGAGCAGATGTGATGGACACCTGCCCTCTGTGCTCTAACTACCCATCCAGAAATCTGCCCAAGATGTAAACTTTGACTTGACTTTCTCAGTGCCACGTTGTCCCATAAACTGGTGATCCCACTTTCTCATCGAAAGTTGGATGTGAGAAGAAGAGTAAGTTCTAAAAGCTGAAATAGTCCTCGGTTGTTTCCTTCTGTGGTGAGACACACATCCCTCTGCCTGCAAGCCTTATTGAAGAAGAACCCAGCTGAGAAGCCCGATTGCTTTCTGAGAGTTAGTCAAAGAACTGTACCTCACTGCTAAGAAGTTAGACCTGCTTGCTAGAGAACTTAGTGGTGATTGGTAACAAAGCAAGCAATAAGCAGGCGGAAAAGGAACCCAGAAATCAGAACAGACCAGTACAAATAAATGACCGAATCTTGACTTTTCTGACACCATGAAGTCCTAGATGTTTCTGTCTCCACTGCAACCTAGAACAAAACATCCCAGAGGAAAAAGTAGGAATGGGGTGAAGTGATGGAGAATTATTTAGGGTGATTCTGTGGAGGAAGCTGCGGTACAGCAAATAGAATAACTAAACATTCCCTGCATATCCAAGAGGTGGTGAGAGCAAGACTGCTGTTTGCTACACAGATTAGTACAGTCCGAGCTGATTTGATACAAAGCATCAGCCTGATGCAGCATCTGTGACAACCTCTGGGTTTGTTCATCGTTTGGAAATTTTAAATTAGATTTAAAACACACACACACACATGCATACAAAAACAGAGATGGGTTAAGCATTTGTTGAACCCACTGAACCCACTTCATTTTAAGAGGTAAGGAAACTGAGTCCCTGAGAGTTTAAGGTCATTCAGCTATTCGGTGGCAGAAGCAGGACAAGAACCCAAATACCACAACCTAGAGTCCCCTAGCTCATCAAATATTCATCATTCCCTTCAAGTTCTGGATCAAAGAAGTCGTTATTCCAACTTATCAATGAGAAATAAATATAGAATATTTAAAAACTATAAATACTTGCATGAAGGAAAATGAAGCAATAGGACTAGATATTTTTTTAGTTCCTTTCCAGCTCTTCCATTCTGTGCTGAATAGCACACAGGAGCTTTGCTATAGCACAACCGCTCTAGTGCATAATTCAGCATATGATGAGTACGAGTCTGATTTGGACCCCATCCAAGGGAGTTAGTTCCTAGAAGTACTTGAAAGATTTTATTCTCCTTTATCATGAAGCATCCTGAAAGAAGACTGAAATAATAATGATGATAATAGTGGCCAATTGTTACACTTGTATTATGCAGTACACATCAGGCTATGTATGTTATAATCCACTGGCTTTCAAAAGGTACATCATGACCTTCCATGGGTCAGAGACGTTTTTGTTTAATTTTGCCACATGCGCTTGCCAGAGACAGGGTGGGGAGGGGATGGTCAAGTTACAACCCCCTCTTCACTTGTCCTTTCGGGATTTGGGGCACACATACACACACACCCGTGTGTTTTTCTTGCCACCAGGTTCTGGATTTGAACCATGTATTTGGCCATGAAGAATCCAGTCATCTAAATCACTATGCCACTGACTGGCCTAGAACATTTTAAATCAAAAGAAAATAGAATACATGACATTTACAAAGTATTATTTTGTTAAGCTTATGTTTTAATCATGTGACTAGTGATTAAAAGAAAAAGTCAGAAAGCCACTGCCTGGTCTCCAATGTTAACAACTACCTTGCTGTTTAAGTAGTAGTAGCCATGGTGTAAGTGAGGAGACAGGGTCAAAAATGATAAGAAGTCTGGCCAAGCTGACGTCACTAGGAAGTGACCAGCTAGAATGTTGAACCTAGATCTGCTTGACTTCAAACTCTGTTTTTACTTCTAAAATGATGATAAATTATTAACCAAAGTGAGAAATAAATTGTTGCTTCCTTTGTGAGAACTTCAAGAGTTTTTATTAAATCCAGCCAGAATGAAGAAACACAGCATCGATTCAAGTGACATGTTCTAAAGACAGCAGTTTCATAAGGCACTGAAACTCATACCTGAGACCTTTTCCTACAGGTGCAAGGTTGTGTCTAATACACTTTATTAAGTCAATGCTAAATGGGGAAATAAGATAATGATTAATGGCTTTAATCTTCAAATAACTTAAATATTCATTCTATGAATGTGAAAACATTTAAGTGAGCTTTTTCAATTTAATTCATATAGCATTTCTCAGTAGCTTGCTTTTTCCAAACACAGAACTGACACATCCAAAAGATAAAAGAAATGTAAGACAGTACCTAAACCAAACATTGTCTTAGTTCATTTGGGGACACAAGATGCACACATATAAAGTGATCAGATAACACTACAATTCCACCGCAACTGTGAAGAAGAAAGAAAGACAGTGATGGCCGTGCTAAATTTTTTGATCCAGATAGTCCTAGGGATTCTACCAGTAACACTGCAATTCAGGTGTCATCATTCACACTCTTCAGATTGAAAAGCTCCAACTCAGAATCAGGTAATGATTGAAATGAGTGTCGAATCTTAGTCTTTCTGATTCCACTACCACTGAAAGGCTCTTTGCAAACAGGTGTACTTCCAGTAGACAAGGAGATTTTGAGACCTGCTTTGCAAACACACTTTTCTCAACATGAGAGAAATGCACATTTTTTTTTCTCTATGACAGCATCTCTTGTTGTCAGGCAGCAATGTCCTCCTTAAGAAAAGAAATTTGTATCTTTCTCTCAAGAAAAGGTAGACCCTCTCCCCTGACTGCCTGGTTTGGCTACTGCATTTCACCCTCACCTGCAGTGAATAGAGGACGTTATGGTACGATGCTATTTTCCATTGGCTCTGCTACTGGAGATTACAGCATGTGACTGTGACAAATGGATATTCCCATTAAATTCTTTAGTAGAGTGGGGCATTCCATTAACCATTGGCACTATCCCAACCCAAGTGAAACATTGGGTCATTTTTTTTCTTGTGAGCAAGAAGTGAAGAGGGAAAACAAAGGATATACTCTAATTACCTTTCCTGAGTTTTGGGGGTTTTTTTGGTGCATGCATTATGATAGTCATATATTACAATTATTTATAATTAATATATGACAAGCTGTCAGCTAAAATTTAACAGGTGATTTGTCAAGAAGCTCTATTAATGCATACATTAAGCAGTGAATTTTAGTGTTTCCTAAAAATAAAATTGTATCTGGGTTCTGTTATTTGTGTTTTAATTTGTTCAGTTTAAACACTCAGGGGCCACCTATTTTATATATTTGTAACAGCTTTTTAGAACAGGTTTATTTTCTTGTTGTGAGACAGTGAGAGAGAAAGAAAGATTCCTCACAGGGAGGCTCTTGGCACACCACCATCCCCACCCCAAACCTCACCTTCCATCTAGCCAAGATCATGGGCAGAGGTCTTGCCACATGGGTCCACTGTTGCCCTGCAGTGCCCTATTTTGCACAATTGTGGCTAGGCCATAGCATCTCTTTAAAATACATCTATTGCTCGGCCAACTCCATGTGCACCAGTAATTCCTTGCTGAAAAGAAGCTGAATCCCCCATGGTGACTGTGAGTCTGGTCCCCCAGTTCGGTCCACCTTGGGGTCAGACGTTTGAGCCAGAGCCCAGGATCTAATGGACTCGAGAACTGGAAGAAGGGCTTGAGGTTTGACCACACTTCATGAAGGATGGTCCTCTTTCTCTTTCACTCTCGTGTGCATACAAACACCTTCTATCATGAATAAAAATAAAATGCATCTGTTGCTAACACAGATGGACGCAGTGTTGTAAAGTAAAAGCACATTTTTGTTACTTTAACCTCTATATGCTAGTGTTTTAACTGAGGAAACAAATTGCTCAGTGTGTATTTTAAAGTTTTAAACTTTTGTGATTTTTAATACATTCTAAAATGTTTGCCATGGGGCACTTCCACTCACCAGGGAGAGACAGAGAGAGGAGTGGGGGAAATGAGTAAGCACCCAGCCTCCTCACCCCTCACCCTGAGAACAGTCATGGTGTAATCTCTTCTTCTCCATTTCTCCCTCCACACTCTCACATGTGCCTAGAGTACTTCTCAAGCCACCCAGACCAGGTTCTGGACGGCATAGTCAGCCATTGGGGATCCAGCTAACATAATCACCACACTGTAGACTAGCCCTCTAATACATTTTTTTTTTCTTTGTAAGTTTTTTCCCATAGGGTGCATGAGCTCATTGGAGAGAGACAGAAGGAGAAAGAAAATAAGAAATCACCCCCCTTGAAGGAGATAGCCACACCACAATGCCTTTACTCCATGCCTCTTAAGACGCTGGGCATGCATGCACACATGCCTGGCATGAATTTCAAGCCACCAGGGCTGGAATCTACCTCTCTCTGCCTCATGGGAGTTGACTTCACCACCACGCCACCTGCTGGCCTCCTTAATACCTTAAATGTTGTCTTTAGTAGTAAAGACAGAGCTGAATGGAGTGGAAAGTAATTGCTGCTAATGTATGTCCAGTGTTTACGTCTGAGTAAGAGAATTTTGAAATGAAGGAATATTTTAAAGTATAGAAAAAGATTAAGAAGTCCCCAGAAAACTTGTAATTAATCATTGGATAGAGGCATAATCTACAGAGACCAAAAACTAATAAATTAGTCTCCATTTTGTCAAATGGCACGAGAATGGGGCACAGGATGGAAATGAGTCAGAGTTCTTGGGAGGGGTAACAAGATTCTTTAAAAGAAGAAAATTTTGAGGACCAGCAGATGGTGTAATGGTTACATTGCTGGACTCCCACAAAGTCGACTGCAGTTCAAGTTCTGGACCTAGCAGCTTAAAACTCAAGTCGGCACATGCAAATGTGTGTCCCGGATACTGAGAGGAGAATGGCGGAGACAGGATCATGACTGGGATGGTCATCCCTCCTGGGGCGTGATTTCTTGCTTTCTGTGTCTCTCTCCAGCAAGAGCATGCACCCTATAGCAAAAATCTCTCTTAAAAATAAAAAAGAAAAAAAAGTTTGGTTTCAAGATCTTAGAGATCAAAGTCATGGCCTCTAACCTGCAAATGAAATGAAATTTTAAACTATTGGTTTGTTGGGAAAATCATAATGCATTTTTTTTCATAGAAAATCATAGAAAAATACGTCATGACTTTTTCGAAGACCTAATACAATTTAATGATTGGTTCCACAGCTGACGAAGTCCTACTGTAGAGGATGATAGAAAAGTAAAGCCGCATTTGTTTAATATTCATTTGCATAGCCTGACTCTTATCTTTCAAGACTAGACCATGCTGCAGGCTGTGGATGACTTGCAATCAGCTGCTGTAGAGGGTGCTGGATCTCCTTAATGAAAGAATGTGCTTCAAGATTCAATGGTAGGAAGAGAGAAAAAATGAGAGTAAAACCCAAAGCACAGCAGTTTTTCAAAGCTAATAAGACTTCTGTGTCCACCAACCAAGTTCAGGTTTCACATTTTTAACAAGAAAGCACTGATACAGAGCTGTGAAATTATTTTTAAAGGGTCTTTCTAACAGAGTTTCAGAAAATGATTCTCAGAAACTCACTCAGAAGCAAAATACCACAGGTCGATTTCCATGTAATGAGGAGTGTATCTCTACACAGTCCGGAGATGATAAATGACTGGTAACAAACTGGGCATTGTATCTGGAATGGGCTATGACCCGTTCCAGATCTCACCTCGCAGTCCTAGGCAGCAGTGTCTCCACGTGTAGCCGTGGCTGTTTCCCCATGCATTCAAGGGGGGCGTTTTCAAAATGAAAAATGACCTAGAGTTTGATCAAAATTAAGCCTCACATCACAACATACACTAAAATGTCACCAACAATAATATTAGAATCTGAATAGTAGCGGGTAGATTTGCAGTTCTACAGAATACTTGATTACAAAGTAATTATAAAGTTTCATGTTTCCATCACAATAATTGATCAGTCCAAGGGGGAAAAAAAACTACATCCTCTAACTAGTAGTAAACGTTTCATTTTCAGCTAGGTATACTCCTAGATGGACAAGCATTCATTATTCATAAACATTCTCTCCTGTATGCAAGTCATCCTGATTTCCAAAATTCATGGACTGTATGTCCAAGATAACTACAATAGTAATACCAAAAAAGTCCAGGGGCGATTTAAAAAGGCAAACCAAAAGTGCTTCTTTGCCACATATATGATCAGTTTAGTTTACTCAAATGAGTACTTTCAGAATTATGAAAGCATTATTCTTGCTTATGTGTGTTCAGCTATTTATGACTTTGTTTTATCTCCTTTCAAAATTGTTTTACATTTATTCATTTATAACTTCCATAAAAGAGAGAGACAGACAGACAGACAGGAATCCCCAACAGGGCTCTCACACTGTGATCTACACTGTAATCTACCCCTGGTCCCAGCTGACCTGGATCATAGGTACACACATGTGCACACCTGACATATGCAGAGAGATCCCATGACACAATCCTGGACCCTAACCCAGGATCTTCCCACGTGGTTCTAGCCGGACCACCACTCCACCACCACTGGGCACTCTGCTACCTTTTCTTACTACCAGAAACACCTTTTCTGATACAAGTAATAACACTGTTCTCTAGATGAGCTCAATGGCAATCTTTTGCATATTTTTCTGCTCCCAATCTTCCTCTGATTGGCCCAGTCCATTTCCCACTGTGTTGCCCAATTAACTTTAATAAAACATAAGTTTGGGACCAGCAGTTGGCATAATGGCCGTGTTGCTGGACTCCCATGTAGTTGAACGATTTCAGTCCTGGACCTGGTGGCTTAAACTCATACCAGGCATGTGTGCATGCATGCCCAAGAGGAGAATGGAGGAGATGGGATTGTGGTATGCCCATCCCCCCTGGGAGGTGATTTCTTGCTTTCTGTCTGTCTCTCTCTGACTCTTGGTGAAGTGCACATGCCCTATAGCAAGAAACCCTCCAAAAAAATAAATAAATAAGTAATATCCATTCTCGAAAGCTCAGTGGTTCATGATTAAGTACAAACTTCGTAACTAAGGACAAATGTTCTACGAGCATTCCTAGCCCACCGTAAATGCAATACAGCCTGAACCCACTCTTCCATTCCACATTTCTATTTCTTTATTACCAGTATCCTAAACTCCAGCATTGTTTGAATAAAACTGTATTTCTCTTTACTCAGCCAGAGAATTCTCTGAGCACCTACATGTTGAATACTCACTTATCCCTTAAAGATAATCTCTAGTTTTTCATGATTTTTCTGTTCATGATTTTTCTACCTAGATATGAATACTATCTCCTCTGAAACATCGATTCTTTGACTCCATGTACTAAATAAACATTCTAATGAAATGGAATAAACCATTATAGAAAACACTCGATCCCAAGATGTGATTCACAGATAGTTTAATCAGTGTCACTCCATTCATTGGAGTGGTAAAATGTTATGAACACAAGCATGTGCTGGATGGAGTTTGTGAACTTTACAGACTTGTATCTAATAACATCTCGAAGGAGCCTCATTGTTTAGTCACATGTTGGCAATTCTGATGCTAAGTGACTGTGTTTGGGAGAAAGACAAATTCTGGAGATTCTGATTGAAGATATATATGAAGAACAGCAGATGATGGAAACTTTTAACAATTTCTTCTTTATTCTTTTTTAACTCACTTTGCTCATTATCCATGCAAGGAGATGCGCTGACGTGGGACTATTCAGTCTTTGGCCTTGACAAGCACAGAAACACATCAAATCAGGCAGATGTTCTTCTCTGCCTTCCCCTTGGCAAAGACACCAGGGCCAGGCGTCTAGAAACAGTCCTGAAAAGGACACTTGGCATCTGTGCTTTTTACTTTTTTCCTCCATCAGAGCGATCTCCAGCCTGATGAATCTTAGGCTCTAAGAAATATCCTACTTTGCACCAAGTGGAAGTAAGGAATAGGACATTTGTATTATTTTTCTTTTCTATCCCCATAGCCCACCTTCCATCCTCCATCCCCAAATAGGCTGGGGGTCAGGGAATAAGAGTACAGCAGTAAAAAGTGATATTCTGTGACACCCATATGAGAAGTTTCCAGGTTCACGTCTGGAGACCTCCCTGAGTATCCCAGGCACACATGTGCCCATATTTCAGAGTTAGCTGAGGCTGGGAGTGGGTCACAGCATTAAGAT